CAGGAAAGAGAGATTCGTTTCATATTTCTCTCTCTGATTCGTCAGAGATTATGAGCTGAAAGTGTGTGTCTGGACGAGAGGAGAGAAATTCAGAAACAACCTTCAGTTCTTTTGATATTTTCACATTAGCAGAAAGCATAAGGATATGATTATTATGAAGAAATAATAATTAATAATAATAATGATTATATAATATTATACATTTATTCATATAATATAAACTAGCCATAAAATCATGCATGGTGAGGACAGCATCAGTAAACTGAGTTATTGACTTTTGAATGGGAGGAGAAATATTCCCGTATTTATTTAATATGTTAATGTCAGAGGTCGTGTATCCAGTCAAAATGAGTGTTTGTTCCATGAAAATTATGTAATCTGTTGCTTCATGCATTTATAGTTTGGCATATTGTTGGGGAAATCAATATAGCTTCATTTGAATGATTATTACCATTTTCAGTACAGACAGTAGAGAAAATAAAACATATGCAAGAAATTGAAAATGAAGAGGAATATACAATAGAATAGGTAAAGTGTAAGTCATGCAAAAAATATTTTTTCAAAGTTGTAAATAAAGATTATTGGAGTATGTTCAACAAGAAAATACTATTTTAGTCTTTCTACTTAAAAATGTCCAGTATTTCAAAGTGTCACAGTTTTGTCATTATTAGCGAAATTTACAAGCAATTTGTGAGTGAAAATAGTTTTTAGTTTTATCAGTGTGTCTAATAGAGTACAGCAGGTTTCTGTGGAATATGATGGTGTATGGTGTAGAGCATTAGACTTATAAACTATATTTCAGGATAGATTGTGTTGTGTTTTTATTTATAAATGTGAGGCGGCTGAATCATCAACATAAGACAAAATGTAATTAATAACCCCTATGAATGCAGGAATTAACACCCACATGCCAATTAAGCAGCGTGTGTAGAGTTTTGACATAATGAGCCAAATTCTGCAAAAAGTGTGTAAGCAATAGGCAAAAAAAGTAAGCAGCATCTGATGTTGTCATGGAAACGAGCCTGTGTTGATGGAGACTCGCTCTCGCTCACATTTGTGGCTCACAATAACATTTTAAAAAGTAAGAACAACCACAAAGATCAGTCGTTCTTGACCCTCAAGTGATGGAGGGATGATCGTTTGAGAGTTTGTCTGTGTGTGTGTGTGTGTGTGTGTGAGTGTGT